CACAATCCTGTGTTCAGCATCAGTTGTCCCTGCAAAAGCTTCAGGGCAAATAGATGCAGGGCTTTTTTTCACCCAGAACTCTCTGGAACTCAGTTCCAGCCCCTCTCGGATGGGCGCCATTATCCATTATAAGAGAACAAGGGAGTTGTTAATGGTGAGTTCTGGCACCTCTTTTCCTACAAAAACAGCACTGGATAGATTGCTCCATTTCCACTTTTGAAAGACTGTAATTTTCATTCCAAAACTGGGGAGAGCTTTCCTCCCTGTTTTTGCGCAGGAGCACAAGGGAGCCCCCCACCCCCAAGATGGCACTAAAGCGGGAACATTGAGGGAGCGGCACACAATGGCCCACAAAGTGAAATGACTCGTGTGAACCCACCACCAATAAACTGAGATGGCACTGATGGTGTGTTGCCTAGTTAACCGGTGGAACTCCCTTCCACAAGAGGCAGCAACGACCGCCAACCCAGATGACTTTGAAAGAGGATCATGGCCCCCAAAACTTAGGAATCTAGATAGACTGTTTCTGGGCCTGGAGATTCCTTAAGTACATGAGGAGAGCCTGACTGCTGGATCCAGCTCAGTCTCCTCTTCCTCCAGTGGCCAACCAACCAACCATACATAAATAACCCTAACCCTAACCCTAAATAACTATGTCTCCTTTCCACAGTTCAATCCATGCTCAAGGCGGCTTCCAACATGAAAGAAACCGTCACAAATGTACAGTGGCGTAGCGTGGGGGGTGCAGGGGGGCCGGCCGCACCGGGCGCAACATCTGGGGTTAGGGCAAATCCACAGGTTAGGGGGCGCAAATCCACGGGTTAGGGGGCGCAAATCCACGGGTTAGGGGGCGCAAATCCATGGGTTAGGGGGCGCAAATTACTTGCCTTGCCCCGGGTGCTGACAACCCACGCTACGCCACCGCAAATGTAGCCATGAATGACAAATCAAACGTTTTAAAAAATGCAAAACCAAAGCAAGCAACATCCACATAAATCACAGCAAAGTCTAACACAAAGACACAACACAAAGAGAGTCCTTTTGACTATCAGTAACGATCGCTGCCCCCACAGAAACCTCCAAAGCAAGACCCCGGCCTCAGCTTTTGTAGCTGGAGTCAGTCCAATAAGGACGGGAAGGCCCAGAAACTGGCAGGGCTCCTCTTTCGCTCTCCTTGGACTTCTGTTGCAGCAAAAGTAACAAAGGCTTGAGGAATGTGGAAGCGTTGCTGTTTCCCCAGAGGCAGAAAAATAAAGCAGAAACGCTGGCATGGGTTTTAATTTGTTGACTTTCTGTGTGCCTTAAGGCGCTGTATTTTTCTCTCTCAGTTTTGTTATTTCACACCCCCCCTTTTTTTCAACAATCAAGCTGTGCACGCATTTTATGAAGCAAAAATAAACAGAAGAACGCCGTTTATGGAAGCCTTGAAATCACTGGGTGGAAAGTATAGGTTTTTAATTCTAATTGTTTTTAGACTCTTTTGACTTGGCATTTGTTTTCAGTTTTTAAAGGTGAGGGTTGTGAGACGGCATGAAAAGAACCTGCTGGATCAATGGCCAGGAGCCTAGATGGATTCAGAATATTAGACAAATTCATGGGGGAACGGGCCTGATCCAGCAAACTCTTATTATGTTCTTATGAGAGGGGGGGGGGCCCAGCCTGGAGAGGCTCTGAGAGCATGAAAAGCAGCGTTAGAAACTCAGATATCGAAGCTAGTTGCCAGATGGCACCTTAAGCCTCGGTCACAGTCACCACAACAAAGTATGCCTAGCTGCCATTATTATTATGATGATTCATTTCATTTCTATACTGCTTTATATTTCATTGAAAAAAATCTCAAAGTGATTTCCAACACATTAAATCATTAAATTAAACAAATTAGAATAAAATTTGGCCAAGGCACAGTCTGACCCCCTCCTTTGGTGATCCTCTAGCCCAATGGTTGCCATTAATTTGATTCTGAATTGATTTTAAAATGAATTGATTTTAGAATGCTGTTTTACTTTTTTTTTTGTTAGCTGCTCTGAGCCAGACTTCCGCTGGGGAGGGCGGGATATAAATAAAATTAGTAGTAGTAGTAGTAGTAAAATAAATTCAAGCTTCCAGGAAAATATTTCAGATCCTTCTCTAAGGGGCATTTTACTTTCCCCATATTTACCGTATTTATTTACCTACTCAATTTTTAGAGCTGCCTCCTAGCCGAAGGACCCTAGGAAGCCAGTGTGGGGCAGCGGTGAGAGCGGCAGGTGAGGACCTGGGAGATCAAGGTTCGAACCCGCACTCAGCCCTGGGTGGAGTCAGGCACAGCCTCCTCACGTCCCTCGCAGGGTCGTTGTAGAGATTAACGGGGGGGGGAGTGAACTGTGTCTTCCTTGGGGGAAAAGGAGGGGTATAAATGCAGTGGATCAGCTCTTCCGCTGACCTGCTTAAGAAAGCTGGAGGGCCCAGCCAGGCGGAGATGTCCACTGCCCACCTGGCGTCCAGAGATCTGTCTCCATGTGGTCACAGATGGACCCACAAGAGTCGCAAGATGAGCCTGGCTGATTCCTAACACGGGTGAGAAGAGTCTGGCTGCTGGATCAGGCCAAAGGTCCACTCAGCCCAACATCATCCTGCTCACACCCTGGCTGACCAGACACCCCAAAGCGGAGCCCACAGGCAGGATCCAAGCACGACAGGGACATTCTACAGTACTTGGGCAATTTTGAATTTCCCTTTAGTAACACTTTGCGTATTTTGCATTTGTAGTGGCACTGTTTTGTATTTTGCAATTGCAGCAGACATTAACAAAAAAGGGTCACTCTCCCCACCGGTGGGCCCCAGAAACTGGTCTGAGGAAGACTCTGTCTGTGGGGGCAGAGCAGAACCACCACTGACCACGCGTGTCCAGATGTCTGATGTGACGGACGCCGTGCAGAGGGAGGGAAGCAGGATAGAAACTTGGTAAGTAACTAAACACATCACAGCCTTTTCTGGTGGGAAGTTGTGATCCAAAACATCTGGCGGGTTGCGTTTTCTTTTTTTGGTGGGGCAGGAGGCTGCCCTAAATGAACAACAGATTTATTGTAGCCGAAACCCCCATGGGGCTGAGAGCCTGGCAAAGTGGGGGGGGGGGTCTTGCCCCAAGGACCCTGTTCAGCCTGCTAGGTGCCACCCAAGGGAGCTCCGGGAAGGGGTCCAAGAGGGGGTGGCTCCTCCAGCACAGAACGGGGGGGGGGGCTTTTGCAATAGCTGCTCCAAATGCCTCAGTTAAGAACATCAGAAAAGCCTTGTTGGCTCAGTCCAGTGTCCCTTCTAGTCCAGCCCCCTGACCTCACAGGGGCCACTTCTCTCCCCCCCCCCCAGCTCCGGTTTCCAGAGACTGGCATACAGAAGCAGGAGGCAGAGCAGCCCTCGCTAGCCCCCTCCTCCTCCCTGAATTTGCCCAGCTCTTCTGGAGAGCCAGCCCTGCCTCCGCAGTTCAGCTCTGCGCTGCCTGAACCAGGGGTTTCTCTTCCCCGTCCCCAGCAGTCCTGCGCCCTCCCCGCCCCCCGGCTCCCCCGTCCAGAGCCCTCCTTTCCCCGGCTCCAGCCCGCGCAGCCCTCGGACGTCCCAGAGGCGGCCCCCCGCCCGTCCCACCCGGCCCGCGGGCGCCTTACCTGGCCCCGCCAGGAGCAACGCCAGCCAGACGGGCAGCCGCCACCCCATGCTTCTCCTTCTGCCCTCGAAAACGAAAGGGACCCGGCGGTGGGGCGGCGCACTGGGACTTCCCGGTGCCCGGAGGCGAAGGCGGAGCGCAGCCCCAGCCCGGAAGCCTCTCCCTCGAGGGGGCAGCGGGGAACTCCCCGGGAAGAGGGAGCGGAAGGCCGCCGGTAGACTGGCCCCGATCCTGGGGGGCCCATTGGCCCAGCTTCACTAGCCTCGCTATTTCCCGGGGTGGGGGGTTCATCGCCCACTTTTGGGATCCCTTTGAGTGCCCTCGATTTACCCCCCTCCCCCCCCGTCTAGGATGAGGAGAGAAGCGGAGAGAGGTTCTCTGCATCCACACCGGGCGAACATGGATAAACGTCCATCTCTGCCATGTGCCCCCCCCGCGCCCCCCCTTCCTTTCTATTCACCTTGCAGCGAGAGACTCGAGGAGCTTCAAATCCAGTCCTCTCGCCTCTCGGAAGATGCTTCCGTCCTGCCATCGACTGGCTGACATCCGACGAGAACATCGGGAGAGTCCTGCAGCCGCTGGATCGGGCCCCACAGGGGTCATCCCTCACTCTCCCCTCCTCCACGAAGGTCTCTCCTCCTCTTTTATGGCTATCACGGCCTCCTGCACAGCAGCCAACTCCTAGGGGCCACGGTCCCTCTGCGCCACCCAGAAAATATTTGAGGGGTCCAGGCTGGATTGAGCTCCCCTTTGTTGGGTCTGGAAGATCTGCTCCCTGCCTTGCAGGCCTTTTCCCTCCGGGTCAGGGAGGGCAGGGCCCAGACTGACTCCGGGAAGGTTTGGAGCTGCTGCTGCTGTTGCTGTTGTTTTGCATCTTTTTTTAAGTTGTTGCAATTTAAGTCAAAATTGTTTTGTTTGCTTGAGTATTTTTAAATGTTTCATTTATTGGTTATGACTACCACCCAACATTTAGTTTATTAAATCTGTATACTGCTTTAATCTGAAAACCTCAGGACGGTTCCCCCCCCCCATTAAAATGCAAAAGAAAAACACAAAATACATAAAAGGAAAAATGAAAAATGAAACAAACCAGTGATCTACCTCCCACAAACACATTTAAAAGGTTAGGGAAAGTTTAGTAAGCCAAAGGCCTGATTGTTGTGTTGTACAGTGGTGCCCCGCAAGACGAATGCCTCGCAAGATGAAAAACCCGCAGGACGAGTTTTTGCTTTCCCCCCCTTTTTCAAAGCCGCTAAGCCGTTAATAGGTTTTTAACAGCTTAGCTGCTAAGCCCGCTAAGCCACTAATAGCGCTAAATCGCTAATAGCGCTAATCCGCTTAGCCACCAATGGGGTTGCTTCGCAAGACAAAAAAACCGCTAGACGAAGAGAATCGCGGACGGATTCTTTTCGTCTTGCGAGGCACCACTGTACTTACTCAAACACCCTTCCAAATTCACAGCCAATCACCACTCACCCCCAGAATTTGAAACTTCCCCCTCCCCCAGCTAACATTGCCTTAAATCTATTATAATACTGTACTTACTATTATTCCATAAATTACTTTGCTAGAGGAGTATACAACTTTAGACACAAACACCAGAATATGGCACCCAAATTTTAAGCAAACATGCATGGACAATTTCTAAGAGTCTCATGGGAGAGCCAGTGCCCAGAGTATTTGACTACACCCTGGGAGACCTGGGTTCAAATCCCTCCTTGGCCATGAAGCTCACTGGGAGACCTTGGGGAGCCTAACCTAACTCACAGTTGTTATGAATGGCATGTTTTGAATGAGCCGCAAGATGGCTGAAGACCACCACACATTTTAGGCTGAAGAACACCTTACAAAATGGATGCTATTATGAATGAAGTGTGTTATGAATGAACTGTGCTGATCAAAAGAAGCGAATGGAATGTTCATGTTCTGGCAAAAAGTCCTGTACCCACAATGAAGCATAAAGACTATGCCATGCAATGCTAGCCCCAAACAGTGAGTGTTGTACCGTGCCAGAAGACCGGGTACAAACATTAAGAGTTGTGATATGCCTAGAACATGCTAAAGATGAAGGACTGCCAAGAACATGCTAAGAACTGCCAGGAACATGTCACTCAGGAACATGAGACTTAGATGCACAATGAGAAGAGCGTATAAGTTTAGTCTCTTTCGGACTGAGGTGTGAGTCAGACACAGTTGAGATCCGGCTGCCTGCCAGCCACCCTCTAGGTCTGCCCAACCCAGAGAAGGTGTGTGTGTGTGTGTGACTGCGTGTGTGTCTGAGTGCATGTTCCCTTGTCTTGTTATGTGTTAAGTTTGTTAATCAATAAAGCAATGTTGTATAGAAATTCCAATACGCATTGGTTGTCTGATTGCTTATTTGTGTTCTCTCTCTGGGGTGCACTATGTCTCATTCAAGCTAAACATCTAAACAGATAAGGACCCTGATTATTCTGTACAGGGTTATTCTCACGATTGTAAAGGAGGTGACGAACCATGTGACCCCACAAGAACATAACAAGAAAGAAGATTCTGACTAATCATCAAGATGCATTGCACTGGTTAGACTAGATGACCCTCAAGATTCCTCCTAAAGCTACTACTCTATGACTCCAGGATTTTCCCCACTGTGAGTTTTTCATGGGAAGTGAGATTTCCTTCCAGCTGAAGCTCTTTCCAAGCCCTATTCAGGTTTATCCGTCGTATGCATTCTTTGGTGGGAAGTAAGGTGGTCTCTCCGACCGAAGCTCTTCCCACATTCCAGGCACTCATATGGCTTCTCCCCTGTATGAATTCTTTGGTGGGAAGTGAAATGGGCGCTCCATCTGAAGCTCTTTCCACACTCTTGGCATTCAAATGGTTTCTCCCCAGTGTGAATTCTCTGATGTCGATGGAACCCATGTCGTGTAGTAAAGCACTTTGTGCACTCCAAGCAGTGATATAGTTTCTCCCCTGTATGAATTTTTTGGTGGGAAGTAAGACTGTCCGTCCTGGAGAAGCTCTTTCCACATTCCACACACTGGTATGGTTTCTCACCTGTATGAATTCTTTGGTGGGAAGTGAGATGGGACCTGTCACTAAAGCTCTTTCCACACACTTGGCATTCAAATGGTTTCTCTCCCTTATGAATTCTCTTATGTCGATGGAACCCATATCGTGTAGTAAAGCACTTCTCACATTCCAGGCACTGAAATGGTTTCTCCCCTGTATGAATTCTTTGGTGAGAAGTGAGACTCTCCTTCCTGAAGAAAGTCTTCCCACATTCCACACACTGGTATGGTTTCTCTCCGCTGTGAATACTCTGGTGTCGACGGAAGTATTTGCTTGTAGGAAAAGACTCCCCACAGTCCAAGCACTTATATGGTTTCTCCCCAGTATGAATTCTTTGATGGGAAGTGAGACATGAGCTCCGCCTGAAGCTCTTCCCACACTCTAAGCACTGATATGGTTTCTCTCCAGTGTGAATTCTTTTGTGTTGATGCAAGTCTCTTCTTGTAGTAAAGAACTTCTCGCATTCCACACACTGAAATGGTTTCTCCCCTGTATGAATTCTTTGATGGGAAGTTAGATAGGTCCACTTCCTAAAGCTTTTCCCACATTCCAAGCACTGGTATGGTTTCTCCCCACTGTGAATTCTCTTATGTTGATGTAAGTTTCTTCTTGTACTAAATAACTTCTCACATTCCGGGCACTGAAATGGTTTCTCCCCTGTATGTATTCTTTGATGGGAAGTGAGACTTCCCTTTTGACTGAAGCTCTTCCCACATTCCAAGCACAGAAATGGCTTCTCCCCACTATGAATTCTCTTATGTTGATGCAAATCTCTTCTTGTACTAAAGAACTTCTCACATTCAAGACACTGAAATGGTTTCTCCCCTGTATGAATTCTTTGATGGGAAGTGAGATAGGTCCTCTTCCTGAAGCTCTTCCCACAATCCAAGCACAGAAATGGTTTCTCCCCTGTATGAATTATTTGATGGGAAGTAAGCCTATGCTTCCAACTGAAGCTTTTTCCACATTCCAGGCACTGATATGGTTTCTCCCCAGTGTGAATTCTCTTATGTTTCCATAGCTTTTTTCTTGCAGCAAAGCACTTTGTGCATTCCAAGCACTGATATGGTTTCTCCCCTGTATGAATATTTAGATGGGAAGTAAGACTATTCTTCCGACTGAAGCTCTTTCCACATTCCAGGCACTGAAAGGATTTCTTCCCAATAGGATTTCTTTGATGGGAAGTGGAATGGGAGCTCTGACTGAAGTTCTCTCCATGTTCCAAATCTGGATGTGGCTTCTCCACTGTGTGGATTTTGTCCTGTTGTCCCTTGTTCTTAATTTCTGATTCATCACCACCTGCAACGAAGAGAGGAACAGGTCAGAGCCTAAGAAAGAAATGGAGTTCCCAGTTTTTGAATAATGCTAATGAACATTTGTGATCAAGGAAGATCTGAAGGGAGTTACGTAGATGGGAAGTCTTACTGGAGAGTTCACTGCCTTTGCTGACTGACCTTCACTGACATATTTATGGGAAATTCAGATTCAAAAAGCCTGTTCTTGTTTGGGATGAAATTTCTTTGGCTCAGTCATGGAACCAACTCCATCTGCAAGGTCAGAACTCTATTTGAATATGAATTGGATTCTCTGTCTACCAATTACCTAGCGTCCAGGGGAGAAATAAAATACTGAGTAATGACAGAATTCTAAATGTGTCTTGAAAATATATCAAAAAGCTCAAAACTAACTACTGGTGATTTCAAAATATTAACATGAATATATAGTTCTGAAACTTTGCCTTCATTAACTTCTAAGCTACACTGTTTGTAAATGTCCCATCTCTGTTTTTCCTATGCAGAACGGACTGAAAACCATTTTCAGTAGCCTTTTATAAGTGCAGAGACGCAGAGAAGATCAAAGAAGGAGAACTAAATAATCATAATTAGTAAATCATAGAAAAGATAACAATGAATGCATTTTGATTTTTGATACAGCAGTAGATGAAGAAAAGTCCACAGCTTTGCAACTGTATGGAACGAAGAAAGAAAGAAAGAAAGAAAGAAAGAAAGAAAGAAAGAAAGAAAGAAAGAAAGAAAGAAACCGTTCTGAAGCCAGAAGAGATTTATGGATGATTAGAGGTAGCAAAGACTGATCTGTAAATTAAACAGAGGCAGAAAAAGCCTCTCATCCATTGGAAATCAATTTGGAGAAAGACTTTTTGCTCCACCAAAAAATCCACAAAAATCAAAAGCTGGCAGAACCAACTTCCCTGAACACTCAGAAGGCCTATCCACATCCTGATCCTTGGGCAAAAAGACAGAAGCGGAGGAGCAATATTCACAGACAAAACAGTCCCCAGCCCTCCATTCAAGGTGAACTGTGGGGGTGTGAGAATCCCTGGCACTCTCGGTGGCAACATTGGGATCCATCCAAATATGGGAGGTTTGTCCCAGAGAAATATCTCCTGAATTCCAAAACAGAGTTCCTCAAGAGGGAACTTTACCCAGAGAGATCATGGTCCTCCAAGTCTCCTCCATGACTTCCTTATGCAGAGCTCTCTGGGCAGGATCCAGCAACGCCCACTCCTCAACCGTGAAACAAACAGCAACATCTTCAAAAGAAACTGAGCTCTGAAAGAAAAAGATCCTTCTCTTAGGCAGCATAAAAATCATTTCCTGCACGTTGCTCTTTTGCTTCCTGCCTGGGTTGTTTTAATTGGATTGGTCTGCTGCGCATTTTGATTATTGATGCTTATTTTAATGCTTTAATGGAATTCTTTAATAGTGTATTTTAATGATGGGTATGACTTGGTGAAAATGGGTGGAACTCCACGTTGTTTTATTCAGATCAATTTGTCTGTTTGCCAAATGGAAGAATCCCTCTCTCCTCTCCCTGTGTGTTGTTCTGGGATGGAAAGACTCCCCAGATGTCCCAAAGACAATTTATAATGAATAATACTAGTGACATTCAGAGTTAAGGTGAAGGGGTTACGCTTTATCCTCAGCACACAAACCTTCATTAATGGCATTTTCAGCCTTTGTTAAGGGCAGCTTTGACAGAGAGCAAGAGGGGATTCATTTGTCCCCAGAAACGCCCTGTCTCCCCCCCCCCTCAGCCTCTTTCCCCCCAAGGCTCCTTCCCCCTACCTGATCCGGTTCCTCAGCCGCTGCTTCCCCTCCACCAGGATGAAGAGATGGAGGAGGAGGTCTTGCCGGAATCCTTCTTTCACCTGCGAGAGACAAAGGGAAGTGGGGAGACCAGAGTGCAGGATGCTTCTCTCAGAGGTACTTTCTGGCCTTTGTACCCATTTCATATTTTAGTTTTGTTTAAATACATCTTCTCTCCTTGGGGCTCTTGGCCCCGAGTGACTTTCCCAAAACACTGAAAGAACCCACAGATGAGTTTGAGAATCGCCAGAATGTGACCACACGGAGGAAAAACTCCTTCCTACTTACCCAGCGGCCTCTCTCTGGTGTCTAATGGAGTCCTCCCTGCCCCAAAGGAATCAGGACCCATTTCTGCAGACAGATCCTTTTCCTGAAAGAGAAACAAGGATTCAAAAAAGAGAATGGGGAGAAGGGTTAGAAAAGGAAAAAGGATGAGCAATTTGGAGAGTTTTTTAGGATCTTCTCCCTCCGTGGAGCCCCTTGGGATCATCCAGAGGAAAGTCTCTCTCACCTGCTTCCTCTCCTCCGCCTGACTCAGGAGGAAACCTTCGGCCAGGGCCACTGCCTGGGAACTGGTCTCTGCTCCGCATTCCCTCACCCAGCTCTCCATCTCCGCTGGAAGGACAGCCAGGAACTGCTCCAAGATCACCAGGTCCAGCATCTCAGCTTTCGGGTGCCTTTCTGGCTTCAGCCATTGATGGTCAAAGCGGTAGAGTTGGCTGCAAACTTCTCGGGGTCCTTCGGCCTCCTGGTGACAGGACTGCCTCAACTGCTGGCTCTGCGCCTCTGAGCGAAGGGTGTCCTCCTCTCCCAGGATCTTCTGCATGGAGCTTTCCCAGAATCCCCCACTGCTCCCAGTTTCCATAGCATGGCCTCTTCCTGCTCCAGGGCCATCTGAGTCTTCCTCATCCATCTTTAGGAGGGAACCCCCTTTTTCTTTGACCAAGTTCTGCCTGTCTGATTTAGAGGTGCTGGCAAATGCTGCAAAGGAAATATGTTGTTCTGTTATGAAATTGACACACGGTCAGAAGGTCCCCTGAGCTATTGTGGATGAGTCTTGCTAGGAACCAGGGCTGGACTGCACCACACGCCAGACTCTGAGCTTTCTGTAAGAAAAAAAGGAAGGAGGAAGGAGAAGAAGAAATCCTCTTGCCAGGCCAAAAGTGGAGGCAATGGAAGCGGTTTCTGTGAGTTGAATCAACCTCGTGGCTCCTGCCTCTCAGTGCTTTCAGTCCAGGAATGAAATCAGCACTTTGCATCTCTACATCTCCAGACAGACTGATGGGGTGGGATCCCTTTTTCTCTGCTCTGAGGGCCAAATCCTGATCTGGCCAAGCCCCTGAGGGCCAAATGGGCGAGGCCAAAGTTATTATTGTGTTTTAAAGTTATCGGCTGCTCTGGGAGCTTACGGTGAAGAGTGGGTAATGAATAATAATAAAAATAAAAATATTGTGTTGTAGCTTAGCCCCCCCCCCCAGCTTGCTTTGTCTGGGGATTCTCCTGGATCCAACATACTCACTGGGGGGCTCAGGTGGCCTCAGGGACTAGCAGGATCCCTTTCCAGCTGAGACAGAGAGGACGAGGCCAGGGTCCTCCACGCTCTGGACCCCAGGAGGCCAAGGCAGTGCCTCTAGGCGGAGCTGCCCAAATGCAAAAGTGGCCGGGATCCCTCTCTTGATTCATTATATTTCCATCTCCCCCTTTTCTCCAAGGAGCTCCAGGGGGCATCCATGGGCCCCCCCTCCTCACTGAAGCCCCACAACCTAGCTTTCCTGGCCCAATTCAAGGGGCTCACATTTCGTACCCCAAATATCAGAACATCTGCAGGACTGGGGCGCAAGAGCCCCTCCCTCCCCCTGCTCCCCCTTGCAGCAACTGGACCCCCATGCATCCTAGGGACCCCCCCTCTTCTCCCCAGTGCAGAGACTCACCGGCTCCCCGGAGGCGGCATGGATGCAGCACGTGCAGAAGAGAGAGACAAAGGCCCCTCCTCCCTTTTAGGCAGGCGGGAGAGGGAGGGGCTTGGGCTCGGGAGTTTTGTTTCCCCCCCAACCCCACCGCCTTGACTTCCTCTCCTCTCTAGGAATCCCACTCAATCCCTTTTAACCCTTGGCAAGCCAGCTCCCCCTCTCTCCCCCTCTCTCCGGTGTCCAGTGCCGGGGAGTTCCACAGGTGAACTCTGCTTTGCGTTTAATTTTACCTGTCCCGAATCTTCCAGCATCCCGACTCCTTGGATGTCTTTGAGTTCCACTGCCAGGAGATGCGACTCTCCTTCCACTTTCTCTGGGCCAGGCTTGGCTTTTGAAAATTAGGGGGGGGGCTCAGTAATTAGCTAATTGGGAACCCCGCTCTAAAGTCTAAAGAGCCCCAAAGGCTGCAACCTTTCTTCATAGCCAAGTCTGCCTTGATCATTTTGGCAGCCCTTTTCTGAACCTTTTCCAACTCCCCAAATATCCTTCATGAGGAGAGGCGACTGCATCCCCCATGAGGTTACGCCAGTGGCGTAGCGTGGGGGGTGCAGGGGGGGCTGGCCACACCGGGGTGCGGAGAGAGAGCGAGGGACTATCTGGGGGATGGACAGTGCAGCGGCCGCCCAGCGCAGCGCTGAGCACGGGAGAGAACCACACCAGACCAGACCAGGCAGCAGCAAGAAGAAGCTGGCAGCGGCGGCAGGTTAGGGGTTAGGGGGCGCAAATTACTTGCCTTGCCCCGAGTGCTGACAACCCACGCTACGCCGCTGTGTTACGCCATGGATTTGTGACCAGGGGGGGCTGCAGGGCTCTGTCCGGGGCCTGTTGTGGCTCCATCTGTCGATCTTGGATGGAGGAGTTGAGGGGATGCTCATCCAGTTTGCAGATGACACCAAACTGGGAGGGGCAGCTAATGGCACAGAATTACCATTACAGATTGGAGAACTGGGGGCAAGTTAACAAAATGAATTTCCACAGGGACAAAGGTCAGATTCTGCCCTTAGGAAGGAAGAACCAGCTGCAGAACTATAGAATGGGGGACATAGCAGTGCATGTGAAAAAGATCGAGGGGTCTTGGTGGACCCCAAGCTCCACCTGAGTTCACAGTGTGATGCAGCTGGCGGGGGGGGAGGTGGCGGTTCTGGGGCGTCCAGTTCCGCGCTGCGCCCCCCTCGGGCTCCGCCTGTCTCTCCCGCGAGGCTTCCTGCCTTTATTTCGCCCCCTTCTTCCCCACGGACCGGGACCCCATCTTCCCTCCCGAAGGCGCGCAAGGGGCCTGCCAGGCGCGCGCCCAGAGAAGCATCCAGGGCCGGAGCCGGGGGGCGAAATCGGCTAGAAATATATCCACAAATATCTCTCTAAACAAAAGTATCCATTATTGCCGGAGCGGCTGGTCCAGCTTCGAGGTGGGCGCGGCGGCAGCAGCAGCAGCAGCAGCATCAATCTGGCTGGACGGAAAGGGAACTGGAGGAGGATGCGGGAAGAGCGCCGCCCCCCCCCCGACACGTGAAAATGGGTTTGTGCGGAGAGGGAGGCTTCGCCAGAAAAGAAGCGGCTCTGGCCAGCAGAAGCCCACCGGTCCTGCCCCCTCGGCAGAGGGCGCGCATGTGTGTGCCAAGTGGAGGGATGGCGGAGGGAGCCAGCCCAGCCCCGGGCTCCAGCCCTCGGGGGTCACCTCCCACACCTTGGGGTCCCTTTGAGTGCCCTGCGATTTATGACCCTCCCCTCCCGCACCGTCTAGGATGAGGAGAGAAGCGGGGAGAAGTTCTCTCCATCCAGACACACCGCGCCTCCTTCCTTTATATTTATCCTGAGGCAAGAGAGGAGGAGCTTCAAATCCACAATAAACTCCAATGTGGCTGACATCTGAGGAGAACATCAGAAGAGTCCCACAGCCGCTGGATCCGCCCCACAGGCCCCACCTCCTGTCCTCACAGTGGCCAAGCAGATGCCCATTATGGCAAACCCACAAGAGAGATCCCAAGACAAGAGCCCTCTTCTCCCCTCCTGGGGATTCCAGCAACTGAGGCTCAGAAGCGGGGCTGCCTCCAGCTGGGAAGGCAGAGCAGAACCAGCCTGGCTAGAAGGGGCCTCCATATCCCTCCCCTCCACGAATGTCTCTCATCCTCTTTGAAAGCCATCCTAGTTGGCGGCTATCACCACCTCCTGCACAGCAGCCAACGCCTAGGGGCCAAGGTCTGAAAAGCATTTGCCAAGCATCCCCTCTGGGAATGACCATCCAAGTAGGACCAGTTCGGACAGCTGCTCCAGGAGACAATGGTCAGTAGTATCAAAAGCCGGTGAGAGGTTGAGGGGAATTAACAGACACATGTTCCCCTGTGTCTCTCTCTTGAGAGAAGTCATCATTCAGAGCAACCAAAGCAGTTTCTGTGCCAAAACTGGACCTAAACCCTGATTGAAATGGATGTAGAAAATCAGTTTCCTCCAAGAGCCCCTGGATCTGGTCCACAACCACCCGCTCCAGAACCTTGCCCAGGAAAGGGAGATGAGCAACCGGCCGGTAGTTAGTGTGGGAATGTTCAGGGATGCAGGAGAGGATATATTGTCTGATTATAGCCTTTCCAACTTGTGTTAACAAGTTCCACAATTTAGCAGAGTAACATTCCCCCTTTTTAAACTCACAGCACATGCGTTTGCTCAGGCTCGCTAAAGCCTCTATAATAAGTTTCATTTGTAATGTCCCCTTTAGTCCCTCATAAAAGATAAGACACAACACAGTCTTCTGTAAAAGTATAGAGTTTACTCATTCACATTCTGTTCACAATTGGATCCCAGAAGGCAGACTTAGCTTAGAAAAGTAATGCACACCTGGAAACTATCCCATAAGGAGACAGTTCCTTTGTCCTCTCTTGGCTGCAAGCCAAGAAGGCATCTTAGGCTAAGCAGATGTTGCTTCTTTGATGAAAGTAGTCAGAGAGAGAGACTGGCTGACCAGTCCTGCTCTTTGTTACCTGGGCAGGTGAGGTCACGCCCACCTCTAGTCACATGCAAACTGGGTGGGTGGGGATGCTTTGAGAGTGCAGGTGGAGGCCTTGAGATGGATGAAATGGCCCCAGCCCCACCAGATGCTTCATGGGACGTGAAATATTTCTTCCAGGTGAAGCTCTTTCCACATTCCAAGCACTATTCGGGATTCTCCGTTGTATGAATTCTTTGGTGGAAAGTGAGATGAGACCTGCGACTGAAGCTCTTTCCACACTCTTGGCATTGAAATGATTTCTCCCCAGTGTGAATTTTCTCATGTCGACGGAATTGTGTGCTTGTAGTAAACCTCTTCTTGCATTCTAAGCACTGATATGGTTTCTCCCCACTGTGAATTCTTTGATGGGAGGTGAGACTTGAGCTCCGATTGAAGTTCTTCCCACATTCCAGACACTGAAATGGTTTCTCCCCTGTATGAGTCATTTGATGGGAAGTGAGATGGTTGTTCCGCCTGAAGCTCTTCCCACATTCCACACACTGATATGGTTTCTCCCCCGTATGAACCCTTTGATGGGAACGGAGATTGGGCCTCTGACTGAAGCTCTTCCCACACTCTAAGCACTGATATGGTTTCT